CAAAGGAGGAGAGTGGTCAGTTTGCCACCAGGGTAGAGTTAAAATGAGCCATTTCAGTGGCAAGCAGAGAAAGGAACTTCATATTACACAGAAAGCAAGCCAGGCGTAAAGCAGGGCCTCTGAATCCAGTCGTGAGGCTGGGAAGGACAGCCCTCTCCTATGTATTTACAGCCTCAGAATGCTAATGGAGAGCAGTTTTGAGTCAGAACCAACTTGGCACTGAGTTTGAGTTTGATTGTTATAAAGTAGAATAACTCTACAGGATTTTCTTAACTGGCCAGGCCATTCTTCCACTATCCTTCTAGGTGGGTTCAAACCAGCAACTCTTAGGTCAGTACACAAACACAAACCATGTATGCAACAGAGGGTCTCTAGAGGATTATTAATACAATGAAGCAACTGTATATTTACAATGAACATCTATCATTGTCTATATATAGTCTGTCATGAATATCCCATTAAGGTAAAGTGGTTTTATATCTAGAAGTCAAAATTGTAGACATACAGGTCGGTTTACATACATGAATTGGTTCATTCTTCTTAATTAAATGTCTAAATAGGAACTTTAGTGAGTGGCATAGCTTGTTAATACATCGGACTGCTAAAAAGTAGGTCAGTGGTTCAAATCCACCAGCTGTTCCATGGAAGAAGGACAGAGGGTCTCTTCTCAGTACGATCATAGCTTCAGGAATCCAGTGAAGAGTTCAATGAGTTAATGGATATGGGTATAGCTCTTGATTATAAAACATTATTATTATAAAAATTACTATTTTTCTCCTTATAGAATAAATATTCAAAACATATCTGAGAGAAGAGATTTAAGTTAGACACCCATTTGATGTATAGAATGCTCTTCTTAAGTATCACTGAGAAAAGAAAGAGTACTTTAATATGCAAAACCAAACAAAACAAAAAAAAAGAAACTATAAGTGAAAAATTAACTTCAATAAGAAATTACAAATCATTGCCTACGAAATGTAGCCAGGTCTGAGGCAGGAAAACTTCAAAGGTGGAATTGGATATTTTTGTTTTGTTAGTAGGGAAAAACAAGAGGTGCTCTATAGTATAAGAAAGCCTATTGTAAATGCCCCAGAAATCTACTTGTCTACCTCTACTTTAAAGACTAATGCCTTCAATTTTTCAAATAAAAAACTACTCACCTATAGCAATAAACATACAAAGAGAGGAAAGAAAAAGCTAAATAGAAAAAATATTTAATTTGCTTCCTATATTATGACAATTACATCAACTCTTAAATAGGTAATTAAAGGGAAAGAATTGAACAGAGAACCTGCCATTTTTGGAGAACTGTAACTCATATTAGTTGATAAGATAAAGCCCTCCTTTCTTGAGAAATGGCAGCTAATTAATTGTTGATGCATAGTTAGGTTATTTTTGGCTATCATGAATAGTGTTGCAATGAATACTGTTCTACAACTATCTGTTTTGACCCTCTGCTTTCAGGTCCTTAGAATATATACCTACATGTGTGGAATTGTTAAACCGAATATTCGTTCTATTTTGAGTTCATTGAGAAATCCCCACACTGTTTCTTGCAACAGTTAAAACATTTTGCATCCCCACCAGCAATGCACTGGTCCTCCAATTTCCCTACATCAGTACATTTTTGCTTTACCTTAGCAAGTCTGAGAAATAAACAACAAAAAACTCTATTAATGGCTCGGGATGCTGCAGAGTAAGATAGTCCATAAAGTTCCAAAGCTGTAAATCATTAGAGAAAAAAGCCCCCTCGTCTTATTCCTGTGGATTCAAATGGTATGTTCAAACTGCCAACCTTTTGGCAGTCGAATTCTTTAACCAGAATGAAACAGTATGTTTGTGGTTTTCACAGGCATCTGAAGGATGTTCAGCATTTTTTTTCCTTTGGTTAAGTGGCCATTCAAATGTCCTATCTGGGGAAATGTCTACTCAAGTTCTTAGTTCACTTTTTTTTTTTTTTTAAGACTTTCTTTTTTTTTTTTTAAAGTTTTTTATTATTATTTTATTATTTTGTGTGTGTATGTGCGTGTACTGTCAAATCAGATCTGACTAGTACAGGAGGAGATTGTCCCTCCTTTTCCCGGCAGAGCATCTGGTGGATTTGAACCGTGTGCCTCTGGGATTGCAGTGCAGCTTCTTGCCACTAGGCCACCAGAGCTCCCCCTTAGTTCACTTTTTAAACAGGTAACTTAATTTTGGTTGCTAAACTGTCAAAATCTCATATAATTTTATTATATCTTATTCTTTTTGGATATATGGCTAGTAGTTTTTGTCTTCTAGATGTTGAGATGTAATTCATATTGAAGACTATAGTATTTGATTTTCTGGCCTAACAGCCTTATCTCTGTCTATTAAAAAGAACAAAAATAGCTAAAGTTGTTAGAGAACAAAATAGAAAGACTCATACTTTCTGATTTAAAATTATAGTCTACAACTTCAGTAAAATATATTTTATATTCTACATATATTACTTTATATTTCAATAGAATATATTCCTGCTGAAACTGAGGAGGATCTGAAGCATTTACTGCAGAAGGTCAAGGACTGTAGTCTTCAATAAGGATTGAAGTTCAACATCAAAAAGACAAAGATTTTCACCACTGGGCCAATTGGCAGTACCCCAGTACATTGAGAAGAGATTGAGATTGTTAAAATTTCAGCTTGTTTGGCTTGACAATCAACAATCTTGGCACCAGCAGTCAGGAAATCAAAAAACAAATTCCACTGGGGAAGACTGGTGTCAGGTACCTCTCCAAAGTGTTAAAGAGCAATAATATCAGTCTAAAGACTATAGTGCTTCTGATCCAGGCTATGGTCTTTGCAATGACTTGCTATTCATCAAAGAGTTAGACAATGAACAAAGATGTGGTGCTAGGGAAGAGTGGCAGTCAAGGCAAGGGAAGTTTCTGGGGTCCTTTTTGTTCTGTGTTACAGCTCTTTTTGCCCTTCAAAAGTGGGTGGGCGGCTCAGAGCCTTAAATTAAGGGGAAGTATGGGTGGAGCCTGTGGAGCTTGCTCCAGGCAGTAGATTAAACCTGTGAGGGCCACACACAGCCCCTCAGGCCTCTCATTGTTTTTGGTAAAACATTCTTCTAGGGCCTATCTTTAATTGTTATTGGTGAAACATTCTTTTAGGTCTTATAGCCCTGGTGTGTCCACTTGCTGTACAGATGTAACCTGTGGTCACTGTGAAGCTCAACACTGTGACACTGACATGTCAAATGCAATAATGGTTACTCATAGTGGACAGCGTCTAGTGGTGCTCCCTGATTAAAACAAGCTTAGAAGCAGAGGTGGCATCCACTCCTGTAAATAGCTTGTCTCTAGAAACCGTATGAACCTAAGAAAGGATGAAAGTCACGCAAGTGTCAAGGACTTTCGTTCATAAGGTCTCTATGAGTCACCTACAACTTGACGGTACTTAACAGCATAGAGAGAGACTACTTGGCCTAGTGAACCGAAAGTGATGCTACCAAGGCAAATGTGGGTGACTCTAATCCGCTGCCCTAAGGCCTGTTTTTCATTGTTTTTGGTGAAACATTCTTCTAGGTCGTATAGCCCTGGTGTGTCCAGTTGCCATACAGATGCAACTTGTGGTCGCCATGAAGCTGAACACTGCGACACTGACATGTCAAATGCGCTAATGGTTATCCATAGTGGACAGTGGTTGGTGGCACTCCCTGGTTAAAACGAGCTTGGAAGCAGGAGTGGCATCCACTTCCGTAAACAGCTTGTCTCTGGAAACCCTATGAACCTGGAGAAAGGATGAAAGTCACACAAGTGTTGAGGACTTTCATTTACAGGGTCATTATGCCTACAATTCTTCAGCACTTAAGAACTGAGATAAAGCAAATTAGATGTAGGAAGCAAGCAGTGATAAAGTATTTTTTAATATGTCATTTGTATAACATGAGATTTTCAGAAGAATGTGTCTCAGCAATGTTTCTTGAAAACAGAAATACTTATGAACATTTAGTTTTGAAAGTAGATGCATTCTAAACCTTATACAGACCATGTTAAATGTAATTTTATTGCTTTTCTCTAAGACTCTTAGACGCTGATCTTCCCAAAGTGTTTTATGAACGACAGAAAGTTCCCTGAACAAAACTCCAAGTTAATACTGTTACTTGCTGCTGAGTTGCCTACAACTCATAGTGACCTTATGCACAATAGCTCTGAACCCAGCCCTATCCTGCACCGCAATCCTGAAGGCATGCAGTTCAAATCCACCAGCTGCTCCATGGGAAAAAGATGGGCAATCTCCTCCTGTGCGATTAACTGCCTCTGAAAATCCACTGGAGGGTTAACTGTGGGTCATTCCAACTCCATGGTACACAGCAACACCAGTATTCGAATCAGGTCCAGGTAAATGACATTAGACCAATTCTGTAAAACTCTATTATCAGAACTCTGGATATCAACTGTACTATCAAATAAAAAAGGAGCTCTGGAGATCGAGTGGTAAAGAATTGCCCTGACAACCCAAAAGACACTTGGTTCTAATCCACCAGCTTCTCTGTGGTGAAAGATGGACACTCACCTCTCAAGCAATTTACTGCCTGTGAAAACCCTTCAGAGAGTCAGCTTTCGGTTAAATCCGACTCGATGACCACCAACCACCACTACCAAATCAAAAGGTACACATGTTTTTCAATGATATATATTCTCCCAAGAACCAAACTGCTAAAACAACTAACTACGAAGTTTACCAGATGCAAACATTCAAAGAACTATAGTAGCTTAAGACTTTCCACTACTTTTCTGGTTCTCAAGAGTGATACTTTCTTCAACTCAATACTTGTCCCCACCATCCAAAACCATGCTAAGCTGAGCAATATCATTCTCTCTCTAGGCTCCAATATATTATTCCTTTGCAATATATGTATTTTCACTTAAATAAATAAAAAACTGTCAAAACTAAAATATATTGGTAGTTCTAATGAGTCATTACATTGATATAAAGATTTGAAGGAGATCATATTTGACTTAATTTATCAGTACCTTTTCATTATCCTGGTTGTGTTTATTTGTAGGTGATGTTGGTACCGAGAGCTCCCTTTTATCATCTCCTGCATATCCACTTCCACTCAGAAAATCCCGTAGTTGACTCTGTAGGAAATGCAGAGCATTAGTAATAAATTGCTATACCAATTATGAAATAAATTTCAATTTGATCATACTTGACTATGATGCTCTTCCAGTACACAGCACATTACCTGGCAGCTGCTCAACATTCAATAAATGGATGTGGAATTTAAATGCATAATAAAACAGTTCTGTTTCTTTCCAGTGACACTACAGAACTAGACAAATTTTGAGTTAAAAATCTGGGACTTGGAAAATACAGGTTAAACCTTTCTTTTACGAACAGGTTCATTATAAGAAAAACAAAAGGCAAAAAGTCTTACAAAGTCAGTTAAAAATTACATCATTGCTTATATGCTAAAGCTTAAAGTTTGTCTAGATTAAATGTTTTTAAGAAAAGTAAGATTCTAAAAAAAAAAGAAAAGTAAGAGAACTGATGGTAAAGCATTCTATAGCCAACCTTCATAAAATCCATAAAACATGCTTCACTTTGGAATGTACATAGTAAATGTGGCATTCTAAGCAGTGTAATATTTAGAACAAAGTAATGTCTCCAAAAAGAGAGAATTTGTAAAAATAGACTTACTTTCATTTTGACACACTATTTAGTGTTTTGGCATTATTCCATTTATTTTAAAGACTCTAACGCATGTTCAACACTCTTCTCCAACACCACAACTCAAAGGCATCGATTCTCCTTCTATCATCCTAGTCATTGCCCAGCTCTCTGATGCATAGCGAGTGATTGCAAAGACCATGGAATGTAACAGGCACACCTTAGTTTCCAGAATGACATCATTGCACTTCAGTACTGTAGGGAGGTCTCTAACCACAAACTTTCCCATCATAATACGTCTTTTAATTTCCTAGCTGCTGGTCCCAAGAGTGTTGACTGTGGAGCCAAGCAAACCAAAACTGTGAACAATCTCAATCTCTTCAGCATCCATCCTGATGCTGCCAATCACCCCAATGGTGAGAATCTTTGTTTTCTTGATACTGAGCTTCAATCCATTTTGAAGGCAGCAGTCCTCGACTCTCTGCAGCAAGCACTTCAGATCCTCTTCAGTTTCACCAAGCAAAGCTGTGTCATCTGCATAATGCAGATTGTTGATGATTCTTCCTTCAATCCTGATGCCACATTTCTCCTCATAGAGTCCAACCTCCCAGATAATCTGTTCTGCATAACGATTGAAAAGGTATGGAAACAGGATACATTCCTGGCATACACCCTTCCTAATTTTGAGCCATGCAGTGTTTCCTTATTCTGTTCTGACGACTGCCTCCTGGTCCAAGTACAGGTTTCCCATTAGCATGATCCCATGGACTCCTAAGAAAAAGAACAGATTTGTCCTGGAGAGGTTGAAGCTGGGCTGCTCCTTGGAGGCAAGGATACTGAGGCTTCATCTGACATACTTTGGACATGTTGCAAACAGGGACCAGTCCTTGGAAAGGGACATCATGCTTAGGAGGGTGGAGGAACAGCACAGGAAAGGAAGACCCTCGATGAGATGGATTGATTCAGTGACTGGGGTAATAGGTAGTTGTGTCGGAGACGCTGAGATTGGCACAGGATAGGACAGAGTTTAGGGCTGTTTTACATAGGGTCGCTATGAGTCACAGGTGACTCGACAGCACATTAACAACAACAACAATATATGTACACTCATGTACACACATACACACACACTCCCACATATGCACTATTCATGATCAGAAGAGATACAGCAAAACCCAGCAAGATTTCTAAAGGGACCTGGAGGTGCAAATGCTAAGCATCTGACATCTAACTGAGTAGCTCCCAAGGTAAAGTGAAAAGCCTGGCAATCTGCTCTGAGGATTACAGCCTAGAAAACCCGATGGTGCAGTTCTGCTCTGTCACATGGAGTCACCAGGGTCCCTAACTACCAGGACTTATCAACTAGAGTCAAATCAATGGCACCCACCATCAACAACGAGCTCTCAACCCATTTTCAGGCTAAGCTACTGTGGAATTCTAAAACAACTCTCACACACTCTCACACACACACACACACACACAGAGATTTCCACCATTTAAAAAGTGATAAGATTTGCTCCAAATTTTTTTATATTGATAAACTGGTATTCATGAAGCTTTAATCACAAAAGGAAAAGAAATTGGAAAAACCAAGAATTTAGATGTTCCTAACATATATAGTTTGCTAATCTTGAAATTAAACTGAAAAGATATTATGTGACTTAAATTTTGCATAGAGGCTGCTCTCACACTTTTGAGGGTGATATGTTTTCAGAAGAAATGCGTAAAGTAAAAATCTACTTTCTAATAAACACAATGGAATTTTTTTAATGGGAGAGCATCACTTATGATTAAAAACTCTTTTCTCAATTATATGTAGAGTTGACAGCTCAAGATTATTAGTAAATCTCAAAATATGGCTCAACCTACAGGCTCAACTTTAAGCCAAAGACATAAAAACCTATAAAAAATACATAACATACTACTTGGAATAATCAACCAAGTGGCATTTTATAAGACAGTACTTGCCCAGGAATAAAGCAAAGAAGCCAAGAATGGTTAAGATCAAAATGGTTAAGCAGGAAGAAGTTGTTAAGTGACACTGAGTAGACCACAATTCACAGCGACCCTAAGAACAAAGGCTCTGAACCTTGCCTTATCCTGAGTCAACTTCACCATCTCACACACTGCATCCCTTTTCACAGTCTCTGTGTCAATCTATCTCATCAAGGGTTCTCCTCTCTCAATCTGACCTTCTACCTTTAAAAGCATGTTGTTTTTCTCTAAGGACTGGCCTCTCCTAACTACATGCTCAAAGTGAACGAGACCGAGATTCACCATCCTTGCCTCCAAGCAGCACCTTGGCTTCACATACTCCATGACAGACTTGTTTGTTCTCTGGGCAGTCCATGGTATGTTCAATATTCTTCGTCAGCAACACAACTCAAAGGTGTTAATTTATTTTCATTCTCAGACATAGTCCCACTTTCATATGCATAGCAAGCAAATGAGAAGACCATAGTCTGGATTGGGCACGCCTCATTCTTTATACTGACATCTTTGCTCTTTAGTATTCTGGGTAGGATCATGACAGCAGATTTTTCCAATGCAACTCGTCTTTTGAGCTCCTGACTGCTGGTACCAAGGGTGTAAATTGTGGATCCAAACAAGATGAAATCATTAACAATCTTTTCCATCAATCATGGCTATCTATTGGCTAATTAGTGGTGGGTTTTGGTTTCTTGATGTTGAGATGTAATCCATCTTGAAGGCTGTAGTTCTTGAACTTCTGCAGCAAATGCTTCAAGTCCTCCTCACTTTTGGCAAGTAAGGTGTATCATCTGCATAATGCAGGTTGTTTTTTGTTTGTTTGCTTTTATAATTGCAGCATTGATAAATCTTACTCGAATCATCATGCCACAGCCACAGTCTTCCTCATATCACTACATTATATGGGTTCCAATCAATGAATGTCACAAAACAAAATGTGTATACACAAATGTATGAAAAAATCAATTTCTGCTATAAATTTTTACCCAAGTTACAACAAAAAGTGATAGATAGATGGATAGATAGATAGATAGAGATATATATATCTATATATATATTTTTTTATTATTTTCCCCCTAAAAACTCCTGAGGTCCCTAAGAATCTTTTTGGAATAAGTAGGGTCATCCCTGTTTCACCTACTAATCAATGTGAAGCCAAGAAAATTTCATATACTTGAACAAAAACATTATCAAATACAAGCAGGAAAACACCACTGTTTTCTTTTACATAAAATATTAGAGTGTTTGTGAAAAAGTGTAAACTGATGTTAACTCCTCAAAATGTTTACTATTGGAAAAATAATTATTTACACGATGTTATTTACATTAATGATATTATATTTTTAATAAATTGATCAGTCTTAAATATTCATCCGTTTTAAATTTTAATGTAAGTATACACCACAAACAGAAACTCTTTATGATATTAAATTATTTTTAAGAGTTAAAAGGAGTCCTATGACCAAAATATTTGCCAATAAGGTCTTTAGGGGGAAAAATAGTGTAAAGCATTCTAAGTTAAACATAAAATTTATAATATATTTGATGTGATATATTATTAACTTTACTGATTTGTACCTTGCTGGTTTGATATACTGTTACTTGCAAATGCTTTCTGACACCAAACATCTAGCTTCAATTTTATAGTGTAAAGACACAGCCCTCCTTTCAGCTACCAGTGACAGTCTTGAATTTGATTATGTGTTGAAGTGACTCATAAAGTGAATGAAAGTTATACTATGATTTGGTTTTACTATAGGAAAGTGATAGAAAGCAGAACCAGCTGGAGACACAGATCCACAGGGCCAGACCTAGGAAGGTCCCAAGCATGAAGTCATACTGTGCCACTCATCAATATGTGAAGAAGCACAACCCAAAACTTGGTGCTCAGTTTTCACTGATGCTTCACAACATGTAGGCATGATAGAACCCTAAGGCAGATGGGACTTGATCTCCAGTTCTCCTCTCCTGCCCTCCATGGAGGTCCGCATGGTATTACCTGGCTCCAATTCTCCAATCACATGGCCAGTCCTTCTGGCTTGGCTCTATATCACCCTGAGTCATCTCATTGTCATTAAATATCAAAGGGCTTGCCATGAGTGACCACACAGAATAAATTATCAGGTGTGGTCTGAGGGCCCACCAGGCATAACAGAAACTCAATCATTCAAGAAATATGAAGGGTTTACAAGGCTATTTACAGGAACCATTGACAAAGTGAACTAAATTCTCTTTCTTTTTAAGTTCTTTATTGTGGTTTGGGTGAAAGACTACAGAGGTGACTCATTTTCCATTCAACAACTGATACACTTTGGTCATAACATGATTCACAATCCGTACCACGTAACAAACAACTTTCTTCTGCCTGACTATGTTGATCATTCACATTGTCCTCTGTTAACCCTTCATACCATTTGACCTCTTTTTCTGGGCAAATACTGCTGATTGGCTGATTGTTCTAAGAAGTATGTTCTTTATA